CACCAGCCAACTGAAAACTTATAAACTTTTCAGTATGAATAAGAGGAAAAAAATGATTGATGTGATCTGTTTTCTCTGGAGCCTGTCCTGTAGTGCTTTAAAAGAGCCCCCAGATGGTGGAACTTGTAATTTTGAAGCAAAAGCCTTTTCCCATTGAGTATGGCCAGGTACTTGAAACAATGAAAGGGATCACTGGTAGAGATATATTACTTTTTCACAGGAAGAATACTGTGTGTTAGGAAGAAACTGACTAACAATCAGATTTCTTTGACAAAAGATGTGGTTTGCTTTTTTATACATAGAATTCATTAGTATTATTAAATACTCTTACACATTTCTTTAAACTATAAATGATTTCCTCATACTTGGTTCCTCAGTCTTCCAAAGCTTTAGAAGTTAGATAAAAGCAGGTACATGTTAGAAGCCTGGGTAGTGTGGAGGTGTTACTTTGTGATAGATTTTTTTTAATCTAAGCACACATATTACAGAAGCCATTAACTTTTCTTTTTATAAGGAGGTGTTAGATTGACTATTACATTCCAAGGAGATTCAATACGGATTATTTCAGTCTCACAGTGAACAATGATCCTCATCTGGACAACTGCATGTCCAGTCAGACAAGAGGGAAAAATGAATGTTTTCTCAGATGTCCTCACAGGGCAGAGCCAGGTGAGAGCCAGTCTTTGGTGTGCCAGACAAATGAATAACCAAACACCAAGACCACAACCAGGACCAGCTGTGGGACAGCTCAGCTCTTGGTTCTGGTACCCACAGAAAGAGTTTAGGTTTGAGTTGCAGATGGCTGAAGATGTGCAGAGACTGCTAAAATCAACATTCTTCTGTGATGCTAAACATGTGTGATGTGAGAAGCCCCTTGAATTGTAGCTATACAGCAGCCTCTGTGCACTCACCTATGATAAACCAGGCCTTTCATGAAAAAATATTGTTCATATAGATACCAATCTGTGTTCAATGACAGCACAACACTTCGTCTACATTTATTTATCGAACACTGGGATAGGCATACAGTTGTTTCTCTAAGAACTTCCATGAATGTTAATGACAGGGAATATCACTTGTAGACAAAACTTGTACCTAGGAAAATATGGAAAAGGAAAGCCAATAAAGCATCATGTGAAAAATATTAGCTTACTGAAAAGCTCTTTATGGTTTGAATTAATTTTTAGTTCAGCTGCACTTGTTAAAACTATAAATAGATAAATAGTCTCTTGCTTTCCTATAGCTTTTTTCCTCTTACAGTGAGCTTTAGAAGTCTTCACATTCAGTGATTTTTATTTTATTATATGTAGCTATCACTGCAAGCTCTCTTTCAAAGAACTACTTTGATAGCAGGCTGTTTTATCTCAGTTCCTAGTGTGATAAAAGCCAATTTAGAGTCACTTACTTTATACGAAACAATGGAAAATACAAGATATTTTGGTGATAATAGCATCTTTAAAAAAAGGATGACCATCTGCCTTTATTCACTTCTCCTGCTTTCAGTGTCCTTTTGAGCTCCCCTTTCCCTATGGAAAGACAAAATCACTGAGATCATTTTCAGACCTGTCAGCTGCGAGGATATGGTAACCATCTTGTAAGATAAACATATGGCTGGGTCTTAAGGGCTTTTTCAAACTGGGAATCCAAATGTAGGCTGCCAAGTTGTGTACAGAAGCATCTGCCACGTCGGTTCCCCATCACAACGCCTCCCTGCACCACCAGGAATCCTGAGCTGGTGCCTGCTCTTTTCCAGGTTGGCATTTCATGGCAAGAGCTAGCCACAAAAATCCAAGTGTGTATATCTGAAGCCTTAAATTTAGGCTCAGCTTCAGGCTCCTGAATTTGAAAGTCTTGGGAATAATTTGGGAAAGATGAGACTCGCCCATCTGGAGGGTCACAGCAGAAACCCAGCTGTAAGCTGCAGGGTGACCTGACACAGAGGGACCTGAATATTGGGCAGTCTCTCCAGGTGGACTGGGAGTGATTATTTTGGGATATGCTTTGAACCCACTGGCTGAGCAATGCCATTCACACAGTCCTTATTGGGCAGGCCAAGAAAGATCTGTTCATACTCCATCTGATTTATTTTTACAAAGTTCCTGACAGAACTGTTGCCTAGTAGCCCCGAAATGTCTGTATCTTGCTTTATTTGTGGTTTCTTGGCTTAGATGGCTTAGCTCCAGAGGACCGTTAAGGAGGAATTGTTCCAATACATGGGACAGCACAGCTCCTCACAGCTAACCAGAATGTGTCTCCAACTTCAACCACTCGATTGTTCTGCTGTACAGTGTTGCTGCCTCCTGCCTTTCATGAGAAATGCTGTAATTTGCCTCTACAAGGAGTTAGGAAAGCTTTGGTGCTGACAGAAGCCACAGGACAGTCACACTGCCCTGGGAGCAACAGCAAGGGCAGGGCACCATAGAGAGTGGATTCACTGCCCTGTGGTCAGTCAGCTTTCCGAATACAAAAACTGAGGAAAACAGCATCAGAAAGGGATTTAGCTCAAAGGGACAAATCAGGTTTTGTTGTAAGTAGTGGATTTCATGGCCCTCACGGAGAAGCAGTATTGCAAAATGTAATTCATGTTGTCCTGATTATTTTCCCTTCTCCACGGACACCAATGCCTTCAGTTCACCGGAGTGGTGCCATCCTTCACAATGCCTTAGGAGCAGCTTCACGTGAGAAGTACTGAGTTGCATCTAATGGCTCATATTGGAGGTTGACTCCTTCCCTTTAACCTTGAAACATGGCAGCATTCTGGCAGTGGGGTGGCCTTGCCCATGCCTTCCTTCTACTGAGGGCTCTGAAAAAGGTAGGTCTGTGCTTAAGAGGAAATACAGCCAAAGGAATTTGCAGTCGACCATTTACTTCCTCATCAACCCTTAATACAAGAAATACCAGTATAGAGAGAGATTAATAAGGCATTTTTCCCAAGGTAATCAGAACAATTATGACAAACTTTCTCATGAAAATATTTGTGTGAGGACAATTGTTTTTGTTCAAAATGTGCATGGTGCTCATGGCTTAAATCACTGTCCATCATAGTTTTTTATATAGTAATACTTATTTTTGCCTTTTTTTTTTTTCTTTGCCTGGGCTTTTTGTGTTTTGGGTGTTTTGTAAAAGCAAGGCATCCAACAGGTTTAGCAAAACAAGGACCGACCATTTTTATATACTTTTAGTTTTAAAGCAGAACATGCCCCCCATGCCAGGAAGTTAACTTACCTGTTCTAATCACATGAAACTTGCCCTGAAAATCAGAGAAGGCAGTGTAATAGAAGAAAATCTGTGAAGATGCAGGAAGTTAGATTTATTGCCATTTGTGAAGCCATTTAACACTGTTCAGAGCAGTTTTAGCTCATCAACACTACACTGATGAATTTCAAAATATCAGAGAGCCTTCTGCAACTCATCTTCACTTGTTCTTAGTGTTTACTCTCACTCTTTACTTTACTTTTTACCTTACTTTAAAACTTCAGTCATTTACTACAAGAGCCAAAATCCTTCTCCTACCCACCCCATGTTCTGAACAAACAACTAATGAACAGGGTGAACAATTCCTGAAGTATTTCCTTTGCCTAAGCTAACTGTAGGAACCATATTCCTAACCATCGGAATCACACTGGAAACATGCCTTGAACAAACTTAAAGCTGCAGCCATTGCAATCAAAAGATTAACAGATAAGTAATTAATTTTGGTAAGTTGCCCTCCCACATGGACTATTTTAAACTTGAAGATTGATAAAATGAGACATTTCATAAACATGAAATTAAAAGAATCCTCAGTAGCTGCATTAAAAAAACAGACAACAGTCTTGACTCACACATCTAACACTGTCTGGAAAAAAAGAGTTTTAAAAATATTGTTGTTAAGTATGCGATTATAGAGTACAGAAAATAATTTTTCAAAAATAGGTCTTTATTAGCAGTCTGGGTTAGAGAAGTGCATATTCACTTTGATTAGGGTTTTCCATTGAGAGGAATAAAAATTGTAGGTGTTCACAGGATACAAGTTTAAAAATATGGAAAGTGATCTATTTACATTACAAAGATGAAATCGAGTTACAGTGGCTATTAGGATAAGTGTTGCAAGTTAGACATTAGAAGAGGGATATGAACCCAATTTACTGGGCAAATTAACTTTGTTAGAACACCTGAGATGGTGCAAAGATAATGGCGCCTTTAGGAGACAAACTACCTGCCTTGCCTGCGTACTCTACAGTGTTTCTCTAATGATTATAAAGTTCTTTAGGCAAGCTTTTTCACCAGCCTCAGGGAGCCAAAAGACATTGATAAATGTGCAACAGAAATAGAACGAAAAAAGGACTTAATGCCCTAACTGTCCATATCTTAATACCTGCTGAAGCAGCTCTGGTTTTTCTGCTCTATGTGACTAAAATTGTGCTTCTGGATGATGCGGATGCCACTGATTTGCAAATGGAGCTACATAGTGTTTTCAGGAATTGAATACAAGCCCAGAGAATCCCTTAGAAATAATGTCCTGGAAAGCAAAGATAGAGCCTGACCAAACTTAAGGGGAGCTGAAGCCTTTCAACAGTGTCCATCTGAGGCTGTTAAAATATGGACAGAAATGCATGTGGCAGGATCTCTTTCCTTTTTGATAACAAACTGTACTCTGGTTCACCTTGTGCCCATGGATTTCACAGTGCCTGATACAAGTAAGGTGAATGGTGTCTGGATGCAATCAGGCACTGAACAAGGGGATCTTAACATGCTTGTTAGTGCAGAAAGTCTTCTGCTATTTCCAGACTGTTCAATGGGAAAGGGAGACAGACTTAAATGATGTACCCAAGGTCATGCCTCAAATTAGTAGCAAAATGGAAAGCACCTCACAAACTGAGATTGTGGAGCTGATCTGCCTATCTGAAAAGAAAAGAAAGCTAGACCTCTTTGCAGTGACCAATTTAAGCCAATTTGTACTGAACAATTTGATATGAAATTTGATTTAAAAAAAAGAGAAAAGAAAGAAAAACCTTGTGAAGCTAGACTAAATGGTGCTCACAGCAAAGCGGTCACCCTTTGATGTGATGGTTTAGAGGAACTGAGGCAGAATGTGCTGATTTTGTGCAGTTTAATAGAAATAAGGCCGTGAAACATCTAGTGCAAAAATCCAAGACTCTTGTCAACATATAACTCTGAACCTTAAAATTACCAGACCTGAATGCATGCAGATGAGTCGTGTTCATTAATTGCAACAGCATCTGTGCCCACTTACACCAGCTAAATATCTAACATTCAATATAAGCAGTTTTCTTGTCCCTTTCCAATTAGCTCCATTACAGAAAATCTAATTAAATCATATCTTTTAGCAGGAACCAAGAATTCAAGAGCTGTATTTTTGCACTTAATTAAAAGCTCTTTGCCTTGAATTGTTAATTTTCTGAAAAAGATATCCAGTAGTTCTTCCTCTGATCCACTTGGTTACTCAATGAAATGGCTCTGAGTTGGCTCTTGAACTGTACATTTGGACTCCAACTCTTATGAAGATCTCAGAAGATGATAGGAATCATAGCTGCTTTCCTCCGCACTTCTGGATAAAATCTCTTCAGATACAGCTTGTGTTTCTTTTGGGCCCAGAGAGACATCTGGATGACCATCAGGAAAGCAAAAATGCCAACTACCAAGGAAGAAGATTTAAAGAAAAGGATCATGTGTCTTCTTTCCATGTCTGTTTCTGTGAATGCAATAGGGTTTATGGAAATGTTTGCAGTCTCTTCTGTGGGCAGAGACAACTCTGTCCTTGCTCTCAGCCTTGCAGTTGCTCATATACCATAGTCTGAGGCTCATCCTCAACATCAGAATTCACACAGATGATGTTCACATCTGTTAGACACAACATGTATCACCTACAACTGCACCATAACTCACAAGGCCTCCTTGGCCATGGTGTCATCTCAACATAGAATTACCCATGGCCTCTCTCAACTATTTTTCTGGTTTGCTTTTGGACCATAACACTTCTTTGTTTTTACCTCTGGCTCTCAACCATAACAGGGAGCTGTGCTGTAACTTCCTGCTGTGTGGAGGGAGAGCTCAGCCCTGGAGCAAGTAGGCAGTAGCTGCCTGATTTAGCTGCCTGGCAGTAAGGTCTCAAAAAGCCCAAAATCTACAGACTTCCCAGGACCCTGCTGTGCTTGTCAGGAGCCAGTAAGTGGGTCTTGGGTACCTCTCCCTTCAGGCTGAGTGGCACCAAATGGGAGATGATTCTACTGACGCATTTTGCAAATTCATTATCCTTTCTTCCTTAAAATGAGATGGTGAATCAGAAACATTCATTTGGCATCTGCTTGAGTTATGTCTGGGACAATTACAGCAAGGATGAGAGTGCTTCATATGTTACTGCTCCTGCCACTGTAGGGACAGCCCTAAATGTCCCCAGACTTTCAGATAATTTCCATATCAGAGCCTAAAGCACAAAAATGTTTCATCTTTTCACACAAAATTTAAAGTTTAATCTTTGCATGATGTAGTTTAACCCACTTTTGAAATTCATTGCTTTTTCATTTTTAAACCACGTGGGGCTACTTTTTGCAAGTAGTTTTTATAGGTTTCTATTTTGAAATGGAAAAATAATTAAAAAGTGACTGTTTTAGAAAGCTTAGTTCCAGGAGCCATATTTTTATGAGTATTTGGGTCTCTAAGGATGCAGGAAAGTACTGAACAAGAGTCACAAATGCTACTAAGCTGGCTGCAGTTACGAGCTGGCTGCCTAATACAAGTAAACAGAAAAATGCTACCAAGAACATGTTGTCTTTCCTCTTTTTGAAATACTAAGTACATGGATTTTTCTTTCCCTGTTAGAAGTATTATTCCAGGTTTACAATGCAAAAAAATTTTCCTATATCAAAAATGATTGACTGTAAATGAAGAATACTGACTTATTGTTTTTCTAAATTTCAAAGTCTGCTTTCACTGTGGAAATGGAAGGAACAGTAATATGTCACCAAAAGCAGAGAGCTGATACTGATCAAATAAGGTGTTGCAGTGGTGTTCACACTCTCCACAGCTTTCTGAGGGTAGCACTTTGAAGATTCACACAGATATCTCACAAGGGGAATTTGATGGCAATATTTCATATGCTATAAATTTTTTTTGGCAAATTTTAGATTTCCAGAATTCACTTCCACAAACGCTTTAGATGCTGTCTTCATTCTGTTTCAAACTTACCTGGCAGAGTTTGTGTCATCACTGTGAAACTAATCCAAGACCCAGCCTGTTGCAAAGAAAAAAAGCACTGTAAGTTGTATATTTACGTAAAGCAAAATGGTAAGTTTTCAAAAGCTATCCCCAGAAAAAGAGCATGGTACTTGTACTGGAAGTGGGAGAGGGAAAATAGCTAGAAATGAACCCCCCAGTGTGCTGGATGGGGTGAAGAGATGAGCAGTAAATCCTTGAATCACTGGGGAGTCTGTAGTGGAGGGAAATAAAAACAAGAGCCATAATAGTGACATGAGGGAAGAGAAGGGTCTGGTGGAGAAATATTTGTGGGAACAAGGAGACTCTGACATACAGAACACCACGATTGATGTGCAGAGGGATCTGCATGGAGGCGTTGCAGATTTCTGGAGACAAAGGCTGAAGCACAGTAACCACCTACCCTTTGCATATAAGCAGAAGAAAGTCATGTACCTCATATGTATAGTTGGGACAGGACACCAGTAGGAAGAGCCATGTGAAGGGGTTGTAAGTTGGACTTGGAAAACAGGTTTTATTTCCTTATGAAAAGAAAAAAAAAAGGAGCAGGGGAAAAATCAGACAGAATCAGTTTCAATACAGGGAGAGATGAACTGAACCTTATCACAGCTTGCCTATGTAACAGCCATCCCCTTGGCCAATGCTCTCAGAGTACAACTTTTTAGAAAAGTTTTGGTGAACTCTTTGGAGATAGCGAAAGCTGTATGTATCCCAGTGAGAATGCTGCTTAGTGAACCTTGCATCAGTTTTTACAAGAAAGTCTGGCATGTCCAGAGGATGCAACTTCTGTTCAGAGGAAGAGAGAGACAAGTAGTTTAATGTGTACTAGCTAGCAGGTGAGGACTAAGGGCACTCTACTGGGATATAAAGGATGCAACCGTATCTTATTCAGCCTGGTTCAGGAATATGAACCTGTCTGCTCCCACATCCTCACCCTACATCTCTGGTTAGAATAGGAAAAAAAGTCCAGGGCTAACAGGATTACCCTCTACAGCCGCTGATAAGGCTCACACAAAAAGATCATAATGTATACTTTATATTTTAGATATTTAATATATAATACAAATTCAGTGGTCTCGTGGGGTTGGTTGGGGTTTTTTTGCTTGGTTTGTTTTGTTGTGGGTTTTTATGTTTGGTTGGGTTTTTTCCCTTTCCTTGCTGTCTTGGACCGGTGAGCAGGTAAAAATAATTAATTATTCTGAAGTTGGAATTGAAAGATTTTCTGTTAGGAAATATGTCAGTGATTTCTCATCAAGGACTAGCTTTACCATATGAAAAAAGCAAGAAAAGAATTGCAGAAATTATCTATTATCAATATTTTTAAGTACTGGCAACAATGCTATCTTTAATACTTGTAGGCACTGAGAATGTAATTAAATTATTTAGCTCCTGCTGCTTTTAAACTGAACTAGGCCCCTTGCACCAAACAATATAAGCACCTGCCTAATCACAGTGCATGAAAAGCCTTCCAGAATAGAAACTGACTTCTGTGTGTGAAGCTGATCATACTGTGGTAAAGTAGTTTCTTGAATAGGATGTTATAGTGGAAAATTATACTATTAATGTCTGAAACTGTATTTTACTTGCCAGTATACATAGTATAACTTCTATTCTCATGATACAAAAGGTCCTGAAAACCCTTTTTAGGAGCAGCCTTTTAAGAGCATTGATGCCTGTGCAGGTATTCATGAGTGTCTCTTTGTGTATTTGTATATATGTGTGTGTACCTTTGCCTGAGATGCATGCATCTAAAAAGTCTGCAATATAGTTTAAAAGTTTTTGAGACTTATTTAAAATGGAATCTGCTGTCAGTCACCAGCATGCTTTAAAGAACTGTGCTTAAATACATATTTAAATTGCAGTTGTGTTTAATTAAGATAGATTTACTAGAAGCTTTGGAACAACAGCAGTGTTGCTAATGTTTTCTTGTCACCACATTTATTTTGATGTTAGACTGATAGCATGGTACCTACTTTATCTTTCTTTAATCTGTGGATGTAGGTACATAAATTACTGTACACCAGCAGAAGATGGATAGGTTCAGCACACTTCAGTCTTAAATAGACAAACAGGAAAGAAAGACAGACCTGAATTAGTTTGGTGAGCTAAAGCTACGTTGATAAAGTGATTTCCAGCTTCACACATCTGCAAGACATTAAAAGCATGTTTTCAGTCGTATGCCTAAAATGCTGTGGTAACTGTGTTGCAGTGCATAAGCAGAATCCCCCCACTACAACTCAAGTCTCTGTATCCAGAAAATATGTACTCTCAAATGCAGCCTGTGATCTTTGTGAAACACACGAGTGTCTAATGAGCACCATGGGTGCAGCCTGGGGTGAAAGCCCCTGGTTCAGCCACTGCAGAGCTCGGTCCAGGCAGGCCTTCAGCATGGGTCACATGCTTTGCTCTGGGGAGACCAGGGAGACTCTCTGGGTCTAAGAAATTCAGCAAGATGCTTTTCTTGATTTATTTTGGATTTAATCCAGGCTGTAAAAAAGTAGGTGAAAAGCTGGCTTTGCAAAGATGTTGTGAGTAAGGTGCCTATCCTCCTCCTACACACACTTTCAAAGGTGTTCAGCATAACACGAAGGAAAAAATAGGGTGAAGAAAAAGGCAGTGGTTCTCTGAAGGGCAGACTGGTGGAATGGATAGTAGTCAGGAATCGATAGATGAACGGAGCCAGTATTATTCCTGGTTCTGCAACTCTCTGGCTTTTACGTTTTCAGCCCTAACCAACCTCTCAAGCTTGGTCGTTAATATTTAAATGTTTTAAATCTTTGGAAGAGGCATCGTGTCTCCCCATTTGGTTTTACAGCATGTAGTAGTAGATGATTTCAGATTTTCTTGAGGTTTTCAGTACTTCCTCAGTTACAACTCCTGAAGAATCAAACCCAATATTTACCCATATTTAAAGTAGGAGCTGGTAGGAAAACCAGTTTCAATTCCTGAAAAAGAAGACCTGCCAGCACAACTATGTAGTTTTATGTGTTTAATTTTTCCCTTGCTTTACGAAGAAAATCAAAATACTGCATACATTTCAGACTGAATTGAACTCTCTTATTCTTTTTTAGGTTTGAAGACTGATTTTTCCTCTCCACTTGAAAAAATGCACTGTTAAAAAGTTCTGTTTTCTTATATCATTTGACATTCTAAATTTTGCAAGGCTGGAAAAAGTTTAAGAAATTAAATAAAAAGGAAAATGCTAAAATCTAGAGACATTAAAAGCATAAAGTCCAAAAATTAATACAAAAAAAAAAAAACCTTTAAACTTTAAAACTGAATTGTAAAAGTAAGTAAAGCTAAATTGAAAGCTAAATTAAAACTAATTGAAAGAATATATAACTTCATTTTATATTGAAATGTGCCATTATCTGAAAGAACATTGTAGATACCATTGCTGAAAAATTTTCCCCCTTTAGACAGAGGTTTTTGTGGGGTTTATTTGGAAAGTTTAAATCAGGTCTATTAGCAAAACTGTTATTCTGCATGGATATGTAGTTATGGTTCAAATCTTGCTGTTCTTTTATGTTTTTTTAATTACAACTACCTGATGGTCATCTATTATAACTACCAGATGCAAAACAATAAATAGCCAGAAAAGGAAATTCTATTTTAAAATACCATATCCAAAGCTATAACTCTAGCCATAGCAATAGAAGTAATTTTAATTTACATACTTCCCATTATCAGCTAGGAACATGATTTTTTTTCTAATTACTATTATTTCAAAGAAAAAGGTTTTGTAGTTAAAAGTGGTTTTGTGAAACACTATACATACTGAAATGTGCGATGCCCATACTATTGTGGAGCAGGAGACATTCACAAACTATAGTTAACCCCTACTAATTCTATAATCAATTCTAAGTAAAACAAGCAAAGGGCATTTCTGCGGGGTTTTTTATTGACTTACCTTTGACTCTGCAGCTGCCTTCTGCTGTAATTAACTCTTGTGTCCCTCTCTAGAAATGTGACTGTTAATGTTCTACATTGAGAAGTAGTGCTAAACGTAAGCTAGTCCTTAGTGTCTCAGATATAAAATATGGGGCAGTGGGGAACATCAACAGAAAAGCTTACCATATTTACAATTATAAAATATTGAAGTCTAGATATATACTTTTTATGTTCTGTGTGCAGCCCATGAGAAAAACATCCCTGCAAAGCTTAGACTCATTTCTCTAAATGTGACAATCTTTCAGAAGGGCCTGCAGACACTCTTCATATTACTCAGTACTGTTGTTTACGGCAGCTGCAGATGTATACACTTAAATCAGGATATGCAATAAACACAAGGTTTAAAAGAGGGTAAGAAAAAGAAATCTTCCAAATATTTTATTCATATGTTTTAGAAACCTGTGAAAACAGCTTCAAATTATTTTATTTTGTTTGTTGGTGTTTTAAAATCATTGTCTGGGAATCTGCCAGCACAGGATCTGAAAGGGAAGGGCTTTGAGTTTCCATGGGTAGCGAGTTCTCAAAAGAGCTGTAAGAACTGAGACCACAGACCAGGTGCTGATGCAGATCTGAAGGGGATCGTCATATTTTATATCAAACAACCCTGACAGGACTCATCCCTTTGCTTAATGGCAGCAATTTCCCTAAAAGCTATAGCAGGGCATGTTACACTGAGGCAAGGAAGGATGTTTCAATAGAAAAGAAGGCTTTTTCTACGTAGAGACTTTGACGAGGACTAGTTTTTCTGGTAGCACTGGATATTCAGCAGTTTTCTTGTTTTCAAATAACCCCTGAGCTTGGGAAGAGTACAGAGAGCAAGGTTCTGGGCACACTACTGCCCACCACTGCCACAACCTCCTGTCCCTGATGTACTGGATTATTGTTTTCAGCTGTAGAGCCTCATGGAGCGTGTGAACTTCTTCGTATGTGTATCTTGCTTGTGTTTGCTATACCTTATTAGGGTTTGAAAAGCTGAGAACTGCATGGCCAGCCCCAGAAACAAACACTGCCAAAATTGTGATCTTTAAGGGTCCCAATTTACAAAAGCATTTCAGTATTGCTAAAGGAGTTTTTGAATGCTTTTCTGAGTAGTGTTGCCTGAAAGAGCCTAGACTTGTTAATGTCCCATCTTCCTGTTTTACTTCTGGAAACCGATCTGTATCTGACTTTCAAAGAAGCTGACTGTTTTGGATACTAACCCATGCTTGCTTGGGTAAGTCGTCACCCAGCAGTTCCAAGTAAAATGCCCTCAGAGGACAGGAAGAATTTACATTTCCATGTGAGAAGTGACTAAGCTTCTGTCTCCCTGTGCAATTACGTTCATTCAAGCATCAGTCTCAGCCGTCCTTCGTCAGCTGCACTTTCCCTTGGCTTAAGCCACTTTGGCAGAGATTGTTTTTATTGTTTTTTATTGTTTAGCTGTTGAGGTGAAGTTATTCAGGGTACGCTGAACTATTGCAAAGCCTGTTTAGGATGTAATTCTTCAATGTTTTCAAAACCATAAGTTTCAATCTGCCTAAATAATTGTGTTTTAACACAATTATCAGTAGTAATAACGCTGATGATGTCCTCATGGCTCTCTGATACAGTACTTCACATTAACCTCTGTATACATAAGTAGTAGCAGAAGACCTCCTGACTGAGAAACCTGTGAAACCTAAATGCCATCAAAGGAACAGGGCTGTGGGCATGGTCATAAATACATATACGTATATACACAAATGTGTAACAGTATTACTGCATATTACTAAATTGTGACTTACTCCTTTTCCACAGTCATTAATAAAACTTCATTTTTGTACGTACCAGAAAAGCAAGGGCAGCATAAGAAACTTGTCTGTGGCCAAATGCTAGAAAACAGAATGAAATGATAAATTGCATTTTACGGTATGCACATGGTTTGCTATGGGTGAAATTAATCTAGTGCTGAGGAGCAGAAATACTTCTTTCCTGACAGGCTCTGCAGAAAGATTGGATATTATCACACAATATGAAGACAATACAAATAGTAACAGCACTCTAGAAATACCAGTCTCTTCACCACTGATCTCAAGTCAGGTTTCACCTAATGTTTTTTACTTATTTGCCATCTTCATCTATCCAATTGTTTTGTCAAAGCAGCTGGTGGTGGTAAATTGAAAAGGCAAAAAGAGTAAAGAGAAGTAAAGGTTAGTGGCAGAACCAGGCCAAGAATCACAGCCTTATCCATAGGCCTTTCTATCCCCATGAGCAGAGAACCCAATACATAAGCTATCTGTAAGGTACAACATACGCAGTTATTTTTCCCAAGAATGCCAAGGCAGTGGTATTATTAAAAAAAAAAGATTTATTTCAAATGCAAGGACCACTTTTTAATGATGCTGCACATACCTGGCCCCCAGGGGGAAAAAGGCAATGCCCTGCCTTCTCCAATGCTTTTTGTATCTTTTCTCTCTCGTTCCCCACACTCTGTGGCCAGAGGAGGCCTTGTACATGTCTGCAAACTTGTTATCACTCGGCATACAAGGGAGATAGCTTGCTCACAGCTTCTCCCTGCAGCTTCCTCGGAAATGCAGAAGGAAGGAAGCAAAAACCATCTAACCTGTTTGAGAAGGCATTTTACAGTCTTCCTAAGCGAAATTGAGTTCTAGCTTTCTGTCACAAATTCTTCCAAAATTGTACCTATCCCTACATCATCCACTACCTTTTTTTTTTTTAAGTAGTGAGTCAATAGTGAGGCTTTACTACGTAGCTACAATATGCTTCAGTCTCACCATGCAAGAAATATATTTAGCCTTTGTAAATTTTACCTGTCATTTGCCTGCCTTCTCCTCTTTGCTCTTGTCCCCAGACCAGTGTAGGGCTCTACCATGTTCATCTCCAAAGGTTTGCAGTTCTCAAGTAAACCTTGCTCACAGATGATGGACACAAACCATATGTATATACCTCATCTCCCTGACCAAGTCTCATCAAGCCTCTACTTTTGAGAACCCTTTTTTTCTGGCTGGCACATGACTCCTCAGTGATGCCAAGAGCATGTGCTAAAAGGCCTTCTCGGAACCACCAGCACATGTCAACTTCTGAGCATGTAGCTGCTAAGCAGATGTTCTTCATAGGCCCTTTGTCAGCCTGGCTTAACTTACCACTCCTGTGGTAAATTCTGCAACTATCTTGCCTTTCCTTGCTGGACTCCAGAGCAGTTATTGCTGGAAAGGGCTGTGGAGGTTACCTGTTCCTGCATCCAAAATAAACCATCAGTGTTTTACTGATTCCACTAACCATGTCAGAGGGCTGGTGATCTCCATCATTAGACCCAAATACCTATAACTGTCATTTTAAGGCAGTGGTAAGCAATTGGAAATATTTCTTCTAAAAGCTTTCTCTTCTGTATCTTGAACAAATGATTTCCTCAATAAAGAAGCTGAACCTACTGATTTGATAGCCCAGACCGCTAAAAACTGTGTCTAGGGAGTTTTCTATATTGTCTGCAGCTTTGTTGTTAAAGTCACAGCAAATTCAACTGTCTTTCAATGAATCACATAGTTTTGAAACAGAACTTCTGTGCTGTTTTGAAAGAAAAGCAAGTGTCACGTACAAGAATTTTTTTATTGAGAAAACTTAGCAATTTACCTGAGTGTAAATAAAAATGACAAAGCAACTGCTTTGTTCCCAAAGCTCATAGATAAATCTAATATACAAAGGAAAAGAAAGACTATGGTGTAGCGAGGGAAGTAAAACAGCAGAAAATAAAACTGAAGCCAATAATGCTCAAAAGAAGCAAAGGCTCAAAGAGTAAAAAGAAAAAGTCATGAAGATACAGCAGTGCAACAATCAAATATGATTAGAGGAAACAAAATGATGAATGAAACCTGAAAGTTCAAAAAATAGGATCTTTTGGTTATCAGCAGTATGGGATGGATTTTTACTGATTTCTCACAACAACAACAAAAAAAAAAGAAAGAAAGAAAAAGAAAATCCTAATTTTCATGAAAAGGATGTATCTTTAGCAAATAAATATCTCCTCCAAGAAAACGCAGACAGTTCTAGTTTTCTCCTGTATTCTTAATACAAATGTTGTGAAGAGGAGCAAAATTTTTGTGTTTTCTCCACTTGGCCAATGTTTCCTCCACTTGGCCGATGTTTCCAGTTGATAAAACTGGAAAGTGATTGCCCATTATTGAACAGGCACATACATTTGGTGGCACAAGCAGACGTGCCTCCAACATAAGAATCTTCCTTCTGACAGGGTGTAAAGGCTATTTTCTGCTAGATTAGTCATATGATCTCATGTGGGACCGTCTATTGATTTTGGAGGACTTGAGGTTACATGCCAAAAACTTTTTAAAACCAAGGTCAGATTTGTGTTCTACTCATACATACATGGTGGAGTATACCGTGGGTGGTTGATGTAGTAGGCGATCCAGGATGTGAATCCCCAGTAAAAGGCACAGCCCTGGAACAGACAAAAAAAGATAATCTTTTTGAAAGGGCAATAAGCAAGTACAAACTGGAACTTTATAAACATAAATTCCAGTAAGTGCAAAACCCAGATGACCACTGAAAGACTTTGCAGTGGCTTTGTGAGTCTCAGAATATATATCTTTTTTAAGATGCTGTGAAGCTAGGGGAAAAGGAAAAAAAGGACACAACATAGATTTTTATTATTATTATTATTGTGTTAAACGTGTTTTATGTCTGTTGTAGGAATTGGGGTTTGTTTTCTCATTCTTTGATTCTACTGCTGAAGAGCACATTTCTCTAAGTTGTACTATTAAAAGTCTGGGGATGGTGAACACAGCTGAGCTGTTACTGTACCTTAAATTCAGCATTTCCAAGCAAGATAGAGCTAGACAAACAGAATGTTAAACCAGACAAAACAATAAGGAGTAAAAGTGAATAAGCCTGGTTTAACCCTGTCAAAAAAATAAGGAACATCCTTCCTATAAACATATTTGGCCTACACACTACATCTACTCCCATAAATTGCACCCCATTTTATCATCTTGCTGAAAAACAGCACCCCAACTGCCTTTGCTTGGTGATTGAAGCCATGGGCTTAGTAAAGCCCAAGCAGAGATAATGTGATTATGTTCTTGATCTGTGTAGGAGTCACTGCTCCCATCCTTTCTGCAAGAGTAAACCAAAATCCACCAGCCAAACAATCAAAACCACCCCAGAGACTGGATAAAACTTCTCTGTGTGTCTAAGTTAAGGATCCCATGCTCAGTAGCTGTTGTAGAAGAACAGTGTGCTAGGACTGGGTACAGTTCCATGCCATAAATAGAGCTGCAAGTCAGGCTGTCTCTTTTTAATCTTTTTGTGTAATGTCACTGTGGTACACAATGGGATAACAGTAACTCTGGGTCTTTAACTCCCACATACATGAGTCACTCTGGTTCCAAAGCCATTTGGCTTATTTAGCTTATGCATCTCTATATGTGCATCTCATTAGCTCCTTTCTGACTGGAATTGAGTCAAGCCCCTTATCATGGCCATATGTTTATTTCCTTTACTAAAACCCTAAATGTTTTCAAAACATTTAAAAGGAAGGTCTTTAAGTCACATTGAATGGGGTGGGGGTGTGATACAAAGTGACCGAGGCAGAGTGTGTGAAATAAAAGAAAGGAAAGTGTATGAGTAATGACACACAGTGGACATTCGGGAGGCTTTGGGAGACAGAAGACTAGGCCAGCTCAGTATTGTCCTGCCTGAGGCCTCCATCAGAAGAATTTTTTTTTCTACTTGTAATTTGATTTTCGCTTCCTAATGCAAGGCCTGGCTCTCTCTCTGTATTTATGTTGCACAGAGGTAGTAGTGCGTGATTTCTATCAACATTGCTAGATGTTGCAGCAGCAGCTCTCATAATAAAATAGGATTCAGTCTCAAAAATATCCTGGACATGACAATCAGCCCCTTGGGTGGATGAGTCAAAGTGGACATTGACATGCAGGAACTAAAATGGACATTAATTTTAATTCATGTCCTTGGGGACATGGCCCTGAAATTTTCCTGTGTCTGTATTTAGACTAAACATGGTTCTTGGAACTACAAAATAAATTTTTATTTCCCTATCTCCTTCCAAGGACTCTTTGATAGGAGAATATTCTCTCTTACACAAAATGATAAACATATTGGTACCTTTATCATATTTTTCAGAGGAGTGTGCCCTTCTGAAAACTTGTGAACAAATAATGTCTCCAGAAGATGTCTGATGTAGTGTAAACAGTGACAGAAGCAGGCCAAGCTGGAAGAAAAAAAAAAGAAAGGAAATTAAGGTAAGTGAAAGATTACTTTTTATTACTTCACAGTTAATGTCATGAAAGGAATAAGAACTAATATTCCAAAACTGCAGTCACATTGAAATAGTGGGATTTAAGTTATTGTGTTAATTGAAGCATCTGGAACCAAAGATTAATGGAATCATTTTCAGTGTTGTACAAAGTTGCTTGCATTTTGCAGGGAAGCAACTTATTTTTTACTAGCCTTGAATTAGAAAGAGCTCCTTGAGCTCTGAATGTGATACATAGCCCTAAAAGACATTTAGACAGGACAGCTGTGTATACAACCAGGAGTCTGACAAGCTTTTCAAAAAGAAGTCTCCCATGTTTTAAGGCCACCTTAATGCTCCTGTAGGATGTGTCTGACATTTAAAAACATTTTGAATATCCTTGTCCTTTGCCAACTCAAGTAGCTGCATGGAGGTAGTTTGTATTTCATTTCCTTGTGGACGCAAAATGGGATTTTTTTGCAACGTTAATCCATTCTGATGGCTTTTTCGTTGCCTGTTATAAAGAAATGAGGTAATTGTGGTAGAAATTATTATACTGATTCTCTTTTGAGGACGATTATGAAACAATAACAGGCATTGCTGATTTGCTTCCGAGAATGAGTTGCAGCTCATAGTGATTGAGTTTCTGAAACAAATGTCAAGAGTGATTCTTGATGGCATTTTATCTTGGTTACATTTACCACACTACCATAGCCCATCTTTCTGCAAACCAATTATAAGACATAAATGAAAAGTGGTTTTCAGCATGTAAAATCTCAAATACTTTTATTATGCATCTTGTATGGAAGCCAGAGTCAAAGATTAAACAATTTCAAAGTGATTAAACCAGAGAGAGTTGAGCTAAAAAATTTTCAAACAATTAATGACTTATCCAAAGCCTGGAGCAAACTTTCAGCTTTGCTGGGAATTTTAAAATGAATTTGGCTTAGGATGGGGACCTCAGATGAACCCATTAAGGAGTGGCCACCGGAAGGATTCTGTACACTCCTTGCCCACATAAAAGAAGGTAAAGGTGTTTCTGGTTCTTCTGTGCTCTCCCTTTAAGCATATGAGCAAGAGAAGGAAGACAAACATCTTGCAGCTCTGGATTTACATTCAATTCTCTGTTCTAATTCCCAGCTCCACTAACCCCCTTAATGTCTCTCCAAGTGTCTATTCCTCCATCTGTAAAAGGTATTATTACTCACTGTGTTTCTCTGCTGTATACTAGTTCCCTCGATTCTGCAGTCATAGTGTGGAAAAAGTGCTGTGGGAGAGCTGTACAGTCCTTTGAGCTTTCTAGTTCCCTGTGTGCCCTCCAACAAGTAGTCCAACTTACACAGATGACAGGCTTTCCTTGGTCACATTTTACCCTTCTGACAGGCACTAACCACCCAGAATGGGGCCAATTGCACTGAAGGGAAGTTCTTAAAGTGTGAAAGTTCCCAGCCTTCCTGGAGCATTATACCACCATCCTGTGGAGATGCCCCTTTAGAATTTCTTGACCTGACTCGTGACATGCACACCTGTTGAATTTCCTCCTTCTTCTGCCTAGGTGAGCGCTGGTGTGGGGGTAGTTATCCTCTGTGCTGGATGCTGATGCTACTCATCTCATGAGCAGGAATGTGCTATAAATAGACTGGGAGTGGGACACCTGAAGTCTTGTCCTCTCTTCTCTGTCAAGCTTGACTTGGTCAAGTTACTACCCACTGTTTTTATTATTTCACCCTCTGTTCAGGCTTTGTGTCTAGAGTGCAAACTATTTGGAGGAAATACTGCATCTCCCGTGGTGACCATTGCAACTGGGATCCCGTTTTTGGTCAGGCTTATGAGTTCTGCTAAAATGCCAAACCCTCACTTGTAAGAATTGAATCTTAAACCAGGCATGAAGCCCCATACTCTGTGTAACCTCCTCCCCTCTGGAAGTGCAGTCTCCATCCCTCTGGCTCCTCATGCTTCAGGAAAGTTGTTCACACAAGTGTCACTTACTGAACCACCGGGTGGCGGAAGTTCTTCCTACTTTCCACTTGATCATAAATAGTTGAGAGGCGAATATAAAAGAGCAGATATATTAGAAGAGGTCCAGTGTATTCTGTTAGAAAAAACTAGAAATGAAAAATAAAATAGCTGTATCAGAGTAGAAAATTGTACCAGTAAAGGTATGAGAAAAAGAATACCCCTATCCACAACCCTATTCATCCTTCAAATGGCGTTTTGGCTTCATTTTGAGGACTTAAATGACACATTGAGGTTTTTTTCTGCTATCTCTTTAGAAAAGGAGTAAAATCCATCTAGGAAGTGTGAGAGAGGTTTCTGTGTAGAAAATTAACCCAGTCAGGAATGCTTCATGGAAGGTGGTCAAAACCATATTTATCTCCTCTTTATATTTTTGGCTGTGACATCAAAAGCCCATTTGGAATCAAAATAGGACTGAAAACCGAGGTCCAAAAGCTGAAGGCGGCTTGCTTTCTGCCAGAGTTTTTTGCAATTAAGTGCTAAGTCAGTTAAAAGGCAACCAAGCATGACAGAAACAAACATAGCCTCAACTCCTGGTTGCTAGCAGAGTCATCTGGAAGGGAGGGATCATTGGTCGAAATTTGGTGTTGGGTGGAAGAGCAGGACCAGCCTGCCTGGTGCATGGTGCTTTGAGCTTTTGTTCAGTGACTGAGTGGTACTCCGCCTGAGCAGATTTATATACAAGTAAATTACCCTGTTGTGATGAAAGTAAAGCAGGAAAAAAATCATTTCATCTTCCCACTATCACCTTTGCTAGACACCGAGAGCTGAGAGAAGGGGCAGGAAGAGAAGGCAGAGTCATAGAGCTTCCATGAGCCTCCTTCAGTTTTAAGTCCTGGCTTTGGTTTGGTACAGTCTGTATTGCCTTTTGTTGGGGAACACTCCTAGGCCACAAACAACTGGAGGAAGTAAAACAAGGTTAGAGTGATGTGAGGTCAGGATTTGATCATCTGTCCCCAGTGGAATTAATCTCAGAATAAAATGGAAGCGGTATAGTCCTGCATGTTTACAAGCACTGGCAAATCATAACTCAAGTGCATAGTATTGCTTAAGGGGTACAGATTTATAATTAATTGGCCATTTGGCTTTAAAGTGGCTATTCACACTGCTATGGAATTGTAATGAATAAATACCTGTGGCTTAAGGAAGCAACACTACATTTAGACTACCTGTCTCAAAATTAGTATTTGGCCCCCCAGGAGGCTGTTCTTCTAATTGCTCTTCAGAAGAGCATTGGAGAAGAAAGGTTTTCCTGCAGAAACATCCTGCAATTAGGTTCCCTTCATTTGGGACCCCCAGTACTATTTCTTTTCTTCTGTTATAGGGGGAAACTTTTTGAAATTTTAGCCTTTCGTAGCAGGACTGTCTCCAAAAGGAACAGATTGAAGTGTTCTCTACCAAAATTTTCTTTTTTCCATGAGACATCATTACTTCTGTGCTCCATTTAGACTCTGCATGATCCCCAGAGCAGGTGTGTGTGTAAAAACATTTAATCTAGGAGAGTCTAAAAGAACATTGTTGTGGAATGCTCCACAATTAAGGGCTTTTGTCCTGTTTTGTCCTAATAGCAGTTGTATAGGTCTGTTCCTAACTGTGAGCCCACTGTGTTAGGCACTCTGCAAACCCTGTAAGAGATGGCCTCCACTTTTAAAATTTGATACAGTAAATATAAACAGTGGTGGTATAGAGGACAGAGGTGCAGAAAATATGGCCTGGGCAGGTCAGTGTAAAAGCTTGGAATGAGCTGCTTTCTTCAGCGTAGCTTTTTCTGTCATCCTTGAGTTGCACCACAAAATACATCCATAACTGCCAGCTTTTATCATCTGTTTGGCACAAGCATATTACAAAGCTACCAGGAAGAGTTTGGCAGGACTTAGCACCAAGTCGTGCTTATTTGTCACTGCACCAAGTGTTCCCCCCTTGCCCCTTGACTGATTTCAGATGCTGAAAGAAGGAAACTTTCAAAATCCAGTCTCTATTTAACAGCCAAAGCGACCAAGCACATAATACCTGAATCCTTGTGATGAGGTTTGTTGTAGGAGGGGGAAATGCAGGGTGTCTCATCAGAGGAATTCAGAGAAGCAGCTCTTGAGTTGGGGTTTGTGGAGGTGAGCAGCACCAGCATGCTCAAGGTGCTTCACAGAGACACCTGTTATGGCTGGGGACAGGGTTCAGTCTTGTCTGTGTGTCGATCACATCCGACACAAAGTGTTAATCAACAAGGTGAAGGAAGGTGGTCCGGGGTCAGCCATGAGATTAGCAATCAGAGTAGGTACTGTCTGGCAGGCAGGACTATATTTGCCTTTGTCATGACTGTGCCACATTGCTGGAACATAGTTAAGATCGGTAACATTCTGTTTTAGAGGATGAGGTTCAATTTTTTTGTAGTGGCTTTTGCTGTATTTTATTTTATTTTGCTTGAGTTTCACACTGTTTCCTTCTGTTGCATCTCCCATGCTGCAACCACTTCTCTAGTTCTCTGGCCCACTGATTTTAAATTCATCAGAAATGAAAAATGAGTTCCAGAAAGCCAGCAGAGAAACTCTGCTAAAAATTCCCATGAGTTCAAGCAAGTGAAAGGGAAAGCAGTCTTAAATTAACACAACATCACAATAATTTCAACCCATTGGCAATCAAGGGCAAGCACCATTTTTTGAACTATTGATTCTCAATGAGTGTATTCAATTAAGCCTACCTAATATCTTCAGACTCATCCTACAGATGACTACTTGGGGAGTTATTTGTTGTGTCAAGGATCAGTTCAACCTATCACTTTTATAGGTGTTCAAAATTACTAATTCCTACTGACATGTCCTGCAAAAATAATAATCACATTTTAAACTAAAGCATGAAAATAATAACATTGTAGCTTGTTGTTTCTGAACAAAAGAAATACCATTTCATTTTAAAAAGTGATCATTTAAAACATAGAGCAGTTTTATTCTGTAGAAACATTTAAAAAAAAATACTTTTTCTTTACCATCTTGTGGTCCTGCCTAGATTATTTTGATGTATTTGGTGCAACCAAATATGGTAGACCATAATAAACACAAAGATCTTTTCCTGGAGGAGCATTATGTTTCTGTAACAGTGAGCATAGGTCAATAGAATTTAACTTTTGGGCTTATCATTAACTCTCTGAAGAGAGAAAAGAGGATCTTTTTTCCACATCTGCACAGTTTATTTCGTAGCATGCAGAGTGTCCAGTTCTCTTACCTTCCTTCTCTCCTCTCCACTGTCTGGCATTATATACTCTATATACCTCTCATTCTCAGTAGCATAGAGAAAGTGTTCTTGAATCAAAGTATTCTTGAGTCAAAACTCTCACAAACATGAGCTCCATACAGGGTGATAAACTCAAGGTTCTTTAACTTTCTCAATTATCAATCAGGTCCACGGGGATCTGAGTCAGTAACACATAAACTGGAAATATCTACTACATAAACAACAAAACTGAGATCTGAAACGAGCCAAAAGAGAGCAAAGATAGGATTTTCCGTCGTTGAAGAGAAGATGGGACAAATGGTAAAATGGTAAAACAGTACACAATAGCTAATCTGCAAACCAGCAAGGCATCTCATCTTACATGAGCCAGATTGTACCTGCTTCTTTTATCTCTGTTCAGCTGATCATGCCAGTAACATCTTGCTGAACTGAGTTACAGCCAGGTCAAGAATTAAAATCCCAGACCATATAGGGCAGAGGGTTTATTTAGGGAGGCACGAATGGAGCAGAGGTGAAAAGAGTTTTTCAAAGTTATTTGAGGGAAGGTGAGGTGATTTTTTGGCTGGTAGGGGTAGCTGACATTACCCCAACAGGTCTACTGAAGGGTATGGAAAGGATTTTGATTTGGTTAATAGTACCGTGTGTACTGGTTGCAAAAAGGCAGAAAAGGACAAAAGGAAGCTATAAACAGAGGCAATGGAGAGGAGGGAATCTGAAAAAATTCCAACAGAATCTTCATAAATGAACAGCCCACATATTTGTATCTTCACGAGGGCATCAGCTAATTCCTCTCTGTAATGTTTATGACATGCCCTTTCTGTAATATCACACAACACACCCTATCTTATTGCCTCTTGGCATAGTCTCACATTATCTCATTTATGACAAGCAGCAGAGCTGAGGAAAGGCCGAACAGCCTCTTCCACACTGATCCCTTCCTGCAGCTCTTTCCATGCCATGTAGGGGGAGTTTCCTAGTTCATTGGTACTGGTTGTGATGTTTTCTCTTCCGCTGTCCATGGGATGTCTGGGTTCAAGGAGGGAGGCAGAGAGTGCAGGATGAGGATAATACCCTCAACCAGGACAATGACTTTGGGTCACTGTCTGTAGCTCTCAGCACAGCAAGAGATACAAAACAGCTCAAGCATGTCCTGGGTAACTCTGATGGAAAAGCAGCTGTAGTTTATAAATTATCTAATGGACAGGGCTTAGTTTCTCTGATAAATATGAGACAAAGGCACTAGATGCAGGTCTGAGCCAAGGTCAGACTGAGGCAGTACATACAGCACAAAGAGGAGAATCTACTGATATCAAACAAACAGACCATTACTATGTGTGAGTGTACAGAGCACAGCTTCGGGGAAACCCAAGAGATCAGGCAGTTGAATCCGCCCAAGTCCCCAGATCACATTAAACTTAACATCTAACTACCTTAGACTCCTTTTACAATCCCAGCCCTAAGTACTCTTGAGCTAATGATCATTAAGAAACGTTATTAATTTCTAGACTAATTTCTGCTTCATACGCTTTGTTACCTCATTAAAAGCCATACTGTTACCTGGGGATGATAATGGCATACTTTTAGCACCATCTCTAAATCTTCACCTTTGTAAAAGTTTCATATTTTCATGTTTGTAAAAATCCATGGCAACAGCAATTTTGTCTCAGATAATACAATTCTTAAGGGCTTCTTGAATATTCAATGACTTTTTGTTCCAGTTCTCATGTAATCCATTCTGCAAAACTTAAATAGTGCATGCAGGGGCACCTGAAACTTCCCTTGTCTGGGTAGACTCTACAGTGACTTGGTGTCTATGAGTATTTCAGGCTGCAGCTCAATGTTTACTGCAAATACCAGAAATAGG